AGGCTCTCTCTACTTATTTGACATCACTTTAGATTGTTAAATACTTTTTTAATTGAATCGAACCTTTTAATTTCCTTTTAGTTTCAGGTAAAATCTACATCCATTTCGATCAATTGTTTCTTAATTCTATTTCTTTATTTGTAACCCCTCTGACATATATGATGCTATACCTAGTTTTTCCGAGATCCCATTATTTGTTCCCCCTTTATTTATTGCTGAGGTCGTCTTCATTTCCGTCTATTGGTTCTTTTGGAGCTTGTGAGTAAGATATGTTGTTTATCTATTTGTTATAAATCATTAAAGTAATTTTTGCCAATGCTCTTTTTGTCTGTTCTATTCTGTTAAATGTGAATAGGTCATCATTTATATCTTTTGAATCTCTTAGTTTCTTTTTGGTTTTCATTAAAATCATTATGTTTATTATTTTTTTGTAAAAGAGTCATGACAATGAAATTCAAGTCTAGAATAGGTGAGGACAGTAATGGTAGCATTCTCACCTCCAGGCAAGATATAATTAAAAGATAGGGGAATATACTCAGCAGCTTCATGAGCGAGATCCCAATATTGAGACATTCCATTGCAAGAAGGTATGAGGAAGAATCCCGAATATTACAAGAGAAAGTCAGTGGGTACTTAAACAGTTACAGAATGTGAAATCTCCTGGGTCTGATGATAAACCAATTGAACTGATAAAAAATGCAATGACTCAATTAGAGGAAAGATTTAAGATCTTTGCAATCTGATATGGAGGAGGAAGGAATGGCCCCCTGAATGGAAGAGGACCATTTTCATTTCACTACCATATAAGAAGGCAATAGAACAATAGCACTGGTAGGTCATGTAAGTAAAATACTGCTTAAAATTATAAACAAAAGACTTGAACCTTTTTATGAAAAGAGATCTTTCAATAGAACAAGCTGGGTTCAGAAAGGGCAAATGTCCAGAGATGAAATAGCAAATCTTAGATGGATAATGGAAGAGAGCAGTGAATTCCAAAGGAACATATATTTATGTTTTATGGACTATTCTAAAGCTTTTGACTGTATGGACCATAATCTTTTATGAATTACCTTAATTAACATGTGCAAATCAGGGCATATAGTATCTTTATTAACACAGCTTTATACAGATCAGGACGCAAATGTTCAAACAACAGAAGGAAGTACTGAATGGTTTAAATTCAATAAGGGAGTCTGGCAAGGATGTATACTCTCTGCTGGTCTATTTAACTTACACACTGAAAATATCATGACAAAAGGGAAACTGGATTAAATGAATGTAGTAGTAAGAATTGGAGGAAGCTAAATCAATAATATTCATTATGCAGATAATACTACAATAATGGTAGAAAGTAAGAAAGATCTAAAGCAGTTGTTACAGAAAGTGATAGAAGAATGTTAGAAATCAGAGCTCCAGCTGAACTTAAAAAATACTTTTGTAATGATAACAGGACACGAAGAGCGAATACAGATAAACGGTGAACAGTTAAAATCAGTGAATAAAGTGAAGTTTTTGGGAGTAACTATAACAAAAGATGAACGCTGCACTCAGGAGAAAAAAAATAAAATTATTTTGGGAGAGGCAGCCATAAAAAATGTAACAAATCTATGAAAGACTCAGGGTTATCAATGAAGGCTAAACTCAAGCTAATACAAACTGTAAATTTCTTGTTGTATGTAAAGTTTGGACTTTAAGCTCCATTGATGGGAGAAAAATAGATGCCTTTGAAATGTAGTGCTGGAGGAAACTGTTTAAAATCTGTTGAACAGATAAAATAACAAATAAATCCATATTAGAAGGGAAGCCTGAATGCCCATTAGAAGCCAGAGCCCTCAAACAAAACTCTCATTCTTTGGTCATATTGCAAAATGATTGGACTTCTTGGAGAAAGACATGATGCTAGGAACAACGGACAGAATCTGAAAATGGGAAAGACAGAAAATCAGATGGCAGGAGGAAATCAAAAAAGCAACAACTTGTCATGGACAGAAGCAATGAAAGAGACAGAATAGGATGGAGAAAACTTGTAAAGGAGGTGACAGCAAATTGGAAGAGACATTTTGGAGGGGCTGGCAACCAACTATTGTGAATATCCCCCTCAGGATCACCAAGGATCACATGCTCTGTGTTACTGCTATTGCTACTAGGAAGAATAAATTTGTGTTTGGTTCTGGATTTGTTTGCATACATGATCCTGTCATGTCTTAAGAAGATTTACAAGAGGTTACAAGTATCACTTAATATACAGCAAATATTAATGAAGAGG